TAACCCGAAATTTCAATTCATTGCACTTTCCTAAACGTGTAGCCAAGTTAGCCCAAGCTTCGCCTCTTTCACTGCTTCCCTTTTTATGCAGCCATGGCTCAAAATACGTCATTTCTTTCAAGAAATGTACATCATGTGCTTCCGACCACTTCATAGGTGGAGAGCTAACAAAAGAGTTAAATAGTACAAATCAATGAAATATTTTAGATTAAAAATTTAAAGCCCTCACAGAACTTGGGGCTGGTTTTTTTTTAAATTGTGAAATCAGTATCTTCCTGCCATTTCTGACAGTTTTTGCCAGGCTCGAGTCTTGGTTTGGCCCCTACAATTATGGGGTAACCTTGTGGCAATGTAAACAGTGTAAAGTACCACAATTACTGCTATCTTGGCTCAAGCCAGGTCAGAGCTGGCATTGTAAACACGACTTATCAAAATACAAGCCAGATATTTTAAAATTCAACACAATCTCAATAGTTTCATCAATAAAATATTGTATGTATTGTTTTGTTTTGTTTTGTTTTGTTTTGTTTTGTTACAAGTGAAAGCCACGATTTATAGCTTTCAATAACAAAGCACATTGTCCAGAAAATCCATAGCTGCTTCCTAGTGCATGAACAAAAAATACCTAATATAACTGTACGATTTCGTTAAAAATCTATATTAAATATAGTGTCTATGTAAAATGTTATATATTGTGTGTGTTTGTGCAATGTACTCAGATGAATGATGATGTTTGTGATGTTACTCGGATGTATCCACACCGGGCAAGCTTGAAAAATATGCCTGGCCACGGTGGGAAAAGAGATTGGTTTATATACTATACTGACAATAGTACCAAACATTCACGAATTCGTCCCATTTTGACAAATGTATCGGCGCTAAAGTTACATTTTACAAATCTGTTTTTGATTCTACGTAATGTTCTAAAACCATTGAACAAAATACATATAATTGTAGACTATACTCACCTGTTTTCCTTTGACATTCTTCTCACGTTCGAGCTCACGTTTCAACGCAACGCCAAAACAAGCCAGGCGCCGTCGTTCCAGTTTCTGACAACGGGAGTTTCCCGCCATACGCATGCGCAGTTACAACGTTTTACTGTTTGGCGTTGGCGTTCCCGTTCTCGTCATGTAATCGTAAGGTCCCTACTAACGATGTATGACAAAAGGGCCCCCGACACAAAATATGCGTAAGGGTCCCGTGTTCCTCCGTTACGCTACTGGCCGCACAATATATTACTCGGAAAAATATAGAATTCTTCAAATATTAAATAGATATCAATACACATACAAATATAAAGCCGAATAAAATACTACCATTGGCATTGAATGTATAGTAATACTTGTACTATGTGCGACTGAAAGAACAATGTTCTGAATATTTGAAGCTATTTAACACTAAAATACGGTCAGATAGGTTGGGATTTGGAATACAGCATACGTCTAAAATTTTACTAACTGTGGTCTAAATAAATGATAAATGAGCATGTATTTATTAATTTCTTCGAAATCACGAGTGTGCCAATGAGTGGAAGCCGTATCGACGACGAAATTGTCAGCAGTTTATGCAGTAAATAGTACAACGTTTAATGTACGATATATATTTATGTCTAAATGACATGCCAGCGAGGATCAACAATATAATTATTTGTACATATTTGGGTATCTTTTGTATGCCTTCGCTTGCTGAATTGCTCACTAATGAGAATAATCCGTGAAGTCACGAGGACCTCAAAATGTACTATACTATAATCTGATGTCAATCCGAAGACGAAGTTCAGAATACTGTTATAGTTTCGTATATTGGATTTAAGCGATAGATTCAAGTCATTTATGATAGACTTTTTTGCTGTGATGCTTTGCTATTACTTTTGGTTTCCATTTCTAGTTTTATTTGTTCGATAGTCTTATAATATAATTAAAATGAATAAAGTTCAAATTTTTCAAAATGCTGTTGTTGACATTTGCTATTTTTAGTAATTTTGTCAACGAGTGTAAGCCAATCAGAAGCCTGCGTTTCTATACGAACGCCACTACCAAGAAAACCTATAGTTCCGTGCAGGCCCTCTATTAGTCGCGCCGCCCGTAACTCAGGGTCTGTTCGCAGGCTACACGATCCCCAACAAGCTATCTGTATATGAACGATTGAAAAGCTACAGAGCTATATTTGGTGGATTATTGTTGTTTTGGAGGGCAGTTAAAAGTCGCATTATTGAAATCTTGTTTTATTACATACTGAATCAAAGCTCATTTTGTGATTTTCCCTTGTTTAAAATAAAGGAAAGTAAGTGTCCCTAGGCTTTAGTACAGCAAAGTTGTTGCACGAATCCATGGCTGAAAACGCAGGAAATAGCATTTCCGAAGTTCAACTTTTAAAATTTTCTCGGGGGAGCATGCCCCCGAACCCCTAAGGTTACAGGTCATTCATATACTGTACCTCTCCCATTTTCGAGTACTCTACTCTATTCCTGCATGTTTTAGGTTTTGGTGCAGTTATACATTTTTTGTAAGTAAACCTGCACGTTCTAGTATGGGGAACATTAAGACATAACCATATAAAATAAAGCACAGTGAAAATTCCTTGGTCCCTCTTGGGATTCAGTTCTCGGCCTCCTCTGACTGAAAACCCCGGCTACGTCTCTGACGATAGGTATATGAAAGCCTTAAGTTACTGTAAGCCGTTATTATGAGAGACAAAATTTAAAAAATATCCTGCCGCCAAATATATTCGGAAAAAAATATCTTGCGCTGCATTTTTACAGGAAAAAAATATCTGTCTTGTTTCCCTGGACTGGAAAAAAATTCTTGCAGACTGAATCTTCCAACCCCCTCAAAAATCAAATGGTCCGCCCCTAAACATTACGCACGGTCCTTGGCTAATTAATTCCAACTCCTTAATTAGAATACATCGATTAGTTATTAGTATCAATTACGTCTGCTTAATCATTACGCACGGTCCTTGGCTAATTAATTCCAAGTCCTCAATTAGAATACATCGATTAGTTATTAGTGTCAATTACATCTGCTTAATTGTTATGCAAGGCCCTTAGCTAATTAATTCCAAGTCCTTAATTAGAATACATCGATTAGTCATTTGTACAATTACGTCTGCTTAATTATTACGCAGGGTCTTTGGCTAATTAATCCCAAGTCCTTAATTAGAATATATCAATTAGTTATTAGTATCAATTACGTCTGCTTAATTGTTACGCAAGGCCCTTGGCTAATTAATCCCAAGTCCTTAATTAGAATACATCAGTTAGTTATTAGTATCAATTAAGTCTGCCTAATTACGCACGGTCCTTGGCTTTTTATTATTATTAAAACTTTATTTACACACGGTATTCTCATCAGGATTTAACATGCAACCAACTAAATTAGATAAATTACAAAAGTAGAACCACGCTAAAGTAAATAGAAAATATAATACCTGCTTTTCATGAGGGCCGTGTACTAAGCTAATATAACAATATATACAACGAAAGTTAATTAAAATAATTTGGCACAGCCCGATCGGAAATTTATCAAGTTATTTGCTTGCCTTAGCCCAATCGGAAGACTGTTCCACAGCACCGCACCACTATAGCTAAAGCTATTCTTGAGATAGTTTGTGCGGGGCTTGGGAACAGCTAGTTTGTTCTCAGTGTTTCTCAGCGAATAAGGATTAACACTGTCACGGTTTACAAACATGGAATGCATGTAATCAGGAGCAAAACCATGACAGCTTTTTGAAACTGGCGCTGGGATGATAATTTTTCCAGCCAAGTTTCTCAATTAAACCATCAGCATTAGTGTCATAACTGGAGAATGTTAGTACTCTCGCTGCACGATTTGTAGTTTTTGAAGTTTTTCAGCTAGGGTTTTGTTGCAATTGTCCCAAACTGTGCAACAGTAATTGAAATATGGCTGAACCAAGGAATTAAAAATTAATTGCAATGTTGCGACTGGGACAAATGATCGAACACGTTTTAAAGCGCCAATACCAGAAGCAATCTTTTTTGTTAATTCATTAATTTGTATATTCCAAGATAGATTCTCATCAAGGGACACTCCGAGAGACTTTGCTTGTAAAACCTTGTCAATAAGAACCCCGTCTATTTCTAAACATGGAACTGATCGAAATGTGGCTATTCTTTGTCGTGAGCCAATTAGCATAAATTCAGTTTTGGATTGATTTAGAGTAAGCTTATTGGCGATAAGCCATTTGTTCACATTTGCAAGGTCATGATTAAGGTGATAATTTATGTCGTCAATATTGTTACTTGCAAATGTTAAATTAGTATCATCCGCGTACATTCGTGCTTGGGAGTGCTTAAGACAATTTGGTAAGTCATTTATATACAGTAAAAATAACAATGGTCCTAAAATAGTCCCCTGTGGAATACCACAGAGTAACGTACGATTGTTAGAAAGGTGACCATTAACATAGCATTTTTGACAGCGGTCACTTAGATAAGACTTAAACCAATTACCCACAGCACCCCAAAGACCATACGCATTCAGTTTTGATAGTAAAATTCCATGGGTAACTGTGTCAAACGCTTTCTTAAGATCTAGGAAAACTACAGCATTAACTCGGCCTTGGTCAATGTTGTATGCCCAGTTATTGGTGGACTCAAGAAGCGCG